GAACAAAGCTGAGGCAACATTGTAAGGAACAAAGCAAGGCTTGTAGCAAAAGGGTATTGTCAAGAAGAAGACATTGATTTTGATGAAACATTTGCACTAGTTGGCAGACTTGAAGTCATAAGAATCTTTCTTGCCTATGCTGCCTACAATGACATCAAAGCATATCAGATGGATGCAAAGAGTTCTTTTCTGAATGGAGATCTAGAGGAAATGAAAGTGAATTTCTTGATCGAGATCTTCAATTTTTTGAAACTTAAAAAGTTCTCTTGTAGAACAACCTCCATGTTTTGTCATTCCAACTCAATCTTCTTGTGTCTACAAGCTTAGAAAGGCTCTTTATGGTCATAAGCAAGCTCCCAAAGCATGGTATGACACGTTGTCATTCTTCCTTGTGAACCATGGGTTTACAAAAGGAAAGGCTGAGAAACCTTTCTTTCAAATTTCAGTTGGTAAACATATTCTATTAGTTCAAATCTATGTTGATGATATAATTTTCGAAAGTACTAATGCAGATCTCTGTAAGAAATTTTCTCAAGTTATGCAGAGTCCATTTGAGATGAGTATGATTGGGGAACTGATCTACTTTCTTGGATTACAAGTAAAACAAGTTCTAGAAGAGATCTTCATCAACCAAGGAAAGTAAACCAGAGACTTGATCAAGAAATTTGTAATTGAAGGAAAAGTTTATGTCAAAATTCCCATGAACACCTCACAAGGAATTGGATCAGATGATGAAGGAAAAGATGTTGATACAACTATGTATAGAGGAATCATTGGATCTCTTCTGTATCTCACTGCCAGCAAACCAGACATCTCATTCTCTGTTGGAATCTGTGCCAAATACCAATCAAAGCCCAAGGAGAGCCATTTAAGTGCAGCAAAGAGAATTATCAGATACAGCAAAGGAAATCCAAATGCAGACCAGTGGTACCCCAAGGAAGGTAACTTTGAACTAAGTCAACACTATCCACACCAGGACTTGATATGTACTCTCTTCTCCATATTTTTGAAAAGCCTGAGATCGGGACATTCTATCTGAATCACGAAGAGAAGAAGCACCAAATGTTGCTGAACGAGATTGCCAAATTCTCTGTCGGGACATTGAAGATCGTTCGAGTCCAGCTGGATGCCAGGGATAGACATATCAGATCTATACTTGTAGATGCTTCCAAACAAGAGCTGAACGATCATGAAAATATGACTAAAGTACTCAATGCCATCAACAAACAACTCGACAAATGACGATCACTGCGTCAATATGAACATGCTCTGGCATTGAGGAGAAACTACTTCCAAACGCAGAAATAAAGAAAAGTAAGACAACACTTGATCACAAAGGGGTAGACTGTAGAAGATTATTTATTGTGATCAAGATGTTTTAGTTAATCTTTCATTTTACCTTTTATGGAATAGACATATTTACTACAAGCTTTAAATGGATATAAGTGCCACATTTTTAGGGCCAAATTCCTATCAATAACCTTTATTGTACGTTGTACTCTCGCTTATTAATATGCGCTAAAGGGAATGTTACATCATCGATCATTGTAGCCGCATAGAGCATTCATAAAATGCTTTCCATTTTCACGCTAGATAGAAATTTCATATGTTCGATCACTTCTTAATCATTCTCAATGGAATCTCTTTCTACTTGAATTTGTTTGTGTGATTTCATTACTTCTAGTGATCGTTCAAACGGGACCGAACATATACTACCTCTGCCCCCGTATTATTGTGACAGAGGAGGGTAGTGCGGTTTTTAAGAAAAGTAGAATTATGTGGTTGATAATGAATTGATAAAGTGAATAATGTAAGAATGAATTAGAACCACAAAAGCATTACCAAGTATGGTATGAGACAAATTTAGTGGGACAAATGAAAAAGGAAAAATGGGACAATTATAGACTTATAGTGGAACAGAGGGAGTAATATTTTATACAATGTCTAGGTAGAGAGATGAACATGAGTCCCTATATCATACATCCGGCTATATGTACACCCGACCCAACTAAGGAAGACAGTCCAATACATGCAAAAAACATTGTTGGCATTTTTGAAATTTAAGCAAAAAATCACGGCTTCTGCTAAATGAGCAATTGTCTACTTTTGGTGATCATCTAACCTATTTTATTGAGTATTAGGAGGCTAACAATGAGTGCCATGATATCTGCTTCATATCTTCTATTTAACATTTTTTTCTTTTATATAACTTATTAAATTATATGTAATTATGTATAAACAATACCTATGAATTTTAAAATGTGAATTTAATGTGATATGATACTTTTGAAATATGCATTGATATGACATTTTACAAATGAGCATAATATCAGTACCAAACGAGCATATGTAACTTACAAAATGCGTATTAATATGAAAATCACAAGGTTTGTTAGTTGAACGTTAAGACATTTTCATTGAGCATTAAACATCTTCTATTGAAATGAAAATCACGGTTTCTGTCAACTAAGCATTAATGAACTTTTACTGAGCATTACATTTATTCTATTGAGTATTAGGAGTCTAATGTTGAGCATCGTGATAATTTTGAAATATGAATCTATATGACATAATAAAATGAACATGATGTCAATACCAATGAGCATACATAAACTACAAAGTGAGTATAAAAAAATTTAAAACATCATTTGAAATTGCTAATGCACTCAAATCCTCATTTGTCTATGCTCATTTCATTTAAGCGTTATGCTCATTTGGTATAAGAGGACGATACCGTAAGGGTTGGATTGTTCTGACATGCCAATATCATCAGAATCTAGTCTATACAGAGCATTAACGTTGTCATCTAGAATCTCTGCAGCACCGGAGATGGAGGAACAACGACGGGCCAGAGACGTCTGAATTTCGACGAATTGGAGCGCTGGCGATTGGGAAGCCCAGGTGAGACTAAAACAAATCAGATTGCAGCAAGATGGAATTCACTCTTGGTCAGATTGCATCATTGGAAGAACTCTGCTCATCGTTTGATGCTGAAGCTTGGAGCAATGGCAGATGGCTGGTGAAGGTTGAACGACGATACCAATAATGAAGGTTGAGCGTGTAGCAGATATGGATGGAAGAAGCGGACTCAAAGTTCAAGAGAATTACAAAAATACGAGGTAAAGTGTAATGTGTGTAAGATATTGAACAAAAGACTTAACGGGCTTAGACAATGCCGTGGGACAGATTCATTCGAATGGGTTAGGCCCAATACAAGAAATACATAATCTCGGGTACCCTGGTCTAAGATAATATATACTCATCAATTTCCAACAGAAAGTTTAATGAGGTATACACACGGCACAACACTTAATCCGAAAAGTTAGTAACCAGATTAAATTGTGAATGAAAGTGATACTTTGATTTGGTTTACAATAATACAATCGGTCTTTTTTGGCTGTCAAATTTTATTAAAATCTCGAGTAGGGTGGTAAAATAATAAAGGTAAAATCTCGATTAAAAACTAATTGTATTGTCTTATTAAACTTTGTCAACTTCTCTTTTTTTATTATCTAAAAAGTTTTGTCACTTTTCATTAAAGTAACTAATTTGTAATTTTGCTAATTTCCGTTTCCTTTACTCAAATCTCAATCGTGCGTTTAGAACCCGTTAAGTAACTTTGTTTTTCGGCGTATTAAACTTATTAACCAACTTTTCCACCAAACAAGTGATTTTTTATTTCACGCACTGAATTGTGTAATAATAAAAAAGTAAGGTTGAAATTACTTTTATGACAATATTGATTGAAGTTAATGTAGAATACAATTTTAGCTATTTTTCATACTCCTATAATATTTCTTTATTTTACTAATAAAATATATTTAAATGTAATATTTTTATAAATTTAAACCGAATCCATCGATTCACTTGATTGTTTGTTTGAAAATAAATGTTAAAATTTCATAAATGTTGAAAATAAACAGGCCCGGCCCGGCCCAGGTGCAACGGGAGCAATTGCACAGGGCCCCCAATTTTGGAGGGCCCCCAATTTTTTTAAGTGTAGTAGTATACACAGGCCCATTAGTAAAGAGATAATATGAAAAAAAGACAGTCCAATCCAATAGAAAACATTAAGCGGTCCGCACAGCTCTTCCAACTTCCCTAACGGCGTAACTCTTCCCATTTGTGTCTTCTACGTAACTCGAACAAATGGAGAAATCGAAGCGATGAAGCCATTTTCGAGGAGACCAGGACTGCGGCGGCTACAAAAACGTCGGAGAGGTACGAAATTTAATCAATTTATTTTTTTACTGCTAGATTTTAATGTTAAATAGCTTTTATTCTTCTCCAATTCTTTATTCTGCTAATCTGCTAGTCGCCTAGGACTACTGCTGCGATTCTTCTTATTTCTCTTACTTCCGATTTCGTCATTATTCTAATTTTCTTCAATTTTTCATTCATTCTTCCTTCTGTGCTATGTGTCTACTGGACTGCTTCTTGTGATTCTTCTTATTTCCCAGTGGGCAGCACTGCAGCAGGAAAGGCAAAGGCACAAAGCAGAAGCATTGAATTGAAGCAACCGTCAACTTGAGGACTTGACTGTTGAGGGTGGGCATTGTCGCATTGGCTATTCTATTAAACTGTTGATCTGTTTCAGGACTTCAGCCTTCAGGTGTTTTTGTTCTCATTCATATTTCTAGTTTACTTTTTAATTGTTAATTTGGATTCATCTACATCTTATAAATTACAATTTAATAAATTGATATTTGAAAATGCCTCCTAGAATTAGAAAATATGAATCTGGATATGAAAAATGAATGAAGAGAAAAAAATAGATGGATTTATTTTATCTGAAAAAGGAGCTTTAGAAAACTTTGTTACAAGAGAACCACAAGATGTTGATGTTGATGATATTGTTAGTATAATTATAAATTGTGATATTACCTTTTATTTTACTATTAGTATTTTTGTATTAAATATTAGAGCCTCCGATTTTTCTTTTGAACAGCTCCTCTCATTTGTAAGGACCCGGCCTGAAAATAAATGTATTGAATAGTCCCCAAAGAAAGTCCCGAAACGATCAGCAAGACTGGCAAGAGCTAGGAAACTTCTTCTATCCATCTTCCATGCCCGGCGGGCGGCGCCAAATATAAATAACACCTCCCCCGTCCCACATATGGCATACATCAGTCCATCCATGGCATCAGTCCTCCTCCCGTTTTCCGGTTGGAAGCGGCGGAGCAGGGTGGTCGGAGCTTTGGATTCATCGTCAGAGGTAGTTATTGTGGGGGCTGGGATTGCAGGGCTGGCAACAGCGGTTTCGCTGCAGAGGCTCGGGATCCGAAGCAGGGTGCTGGAGCAGGCGGATTCGCTCCGGACCGGCGGCACATCCCTCACTTTGTCCAAGAACGGATGGAAGGTCTTGGACGCCATCGGGGTTGGAAATTCTATCAGAAGCCATTTTCTTGAAATTCAAGGGTACGTTGGCCCTGCCCTGCACCTATCGTATTTGTTTGAGAAATAATGGTCCATATACGACTAAAAAAATACTAGTACGTATATTTTTTCCTTATTCCAAATTTACCCCTATTTCTTATCTTATCTTCCGTCTCTGCAAAGGGCCAAGTCTCTCTTCATATATGGACAAAATTTTTACCAGGCGGTACGTGCGAATACGACGGGATGGCGACCAACCAGCGAACCGGCGTTGAAAGAAACGACGGACGGCGAGGAAGGGCGGCGCCGCCGAAGATATCACAGTTAATCTGTCTTTCTTCTTCTTCTTTTCTTCCCGCTCTGGCTGGCTGCTCGTTTTTCTTTCTTTTCTTCCGACTCTGGCTCGCTGCTCTTTTTTCTTTCTTTTCATCCATTACTTTTCTTCTTCTGTATTTGTTTGTTAGTTTCTTGTTTTCTTATTTCCTATTTCAACTTGCACCTGTAACAGCGCTTTGGTTTGTTTAATACGGACTAATACTTTAGTTTCTAGGTTAATTTACCTTTTTATTATTATTATTATTGCCTTTTTTATTCATAATTTATTTTTAATTTTTTAACTCTAAGTTTAGTTTTTCATTCACACAAGGACATTTATTTTCAAAAAACGATCTCATTATATTCTCATATAATTACATTGTATATTACATTGTTATATAATGACATAATAATCAATTAGCAACAATGTTTTTCCATTAGAGATGTCAATTTTTATGTCTTTGACATTCAAGTGTTCAACCCGCTAGCTTCGAGTGTTCAACCCGCTAGCTTCTTAAGATCTATCCAATTCCAGCAAGTAGTTGGCTGCTATGTTTTTTAGGGGAGATTATTTTTGTCCTCCCCAAATAAAATCAGTCCTATTTAGAGGTTAAAAAGATTCAAGTCCTATTTACTTCCGCAACTCATGTTTTGGTCTTATTGAAGTCTTTTTCCCTATTTGTTTCAACAATTGTTCGGTACACAAAATTTATACACATTTTGCATACATTATTTGTATGTAATTGTCAGTGCACAGAGATAACGCTGAATGAGCTGCTTGTGTACACGGGTAATTAGGGGTGTACACATTATTTGTGTTCACACATAATTACGCACAATGTATGCAAAATGTATACAAATTTCGTGTACAAATAGCTTTTTTCTATTTGTTTTATATAGGGGAAGTTTTCCAAACAGGGGTAAACTATTACGGAGTATCAAAATAGAATTACTATATTTTTCTTCTCAAAATAAGAGTAGTGATTGTTAAAATAGTTACAGTATTAACCATTAACATGACAATATTTAATGTCATCAATGACAATACTTTTCTATCATTGCAGTAACGACTCTGATTTTAAAAAAAATATAGCAATCCTATTTTTGAAATTGCATAACGTTTGTACTCATATTTAGGACAATTTCTCTTTTATATACCGTAGCAATATAAAAAGACTAAAAGTAATTCGGCTCTTGCCTAAATCACCATGCAAGAAAGCAGTGGTGGTGTCCATTTGTTTCATTTCCCAATCATTATGAGCAACAAGATCAAGCATAATTCTAATCGTAGTGAATTTAACAACAGGAGCAAAGATTTCAGCATAATCAACACCTTCCTTTTGAGTAAATCCTTTAGCTACTAACGTAGCCTTATATCTAATGTCGTTAGGCTCTTCCTTAATCTTAAATAGCCACTTACACTCAACTACGGAACTATTGGGCGGTCTAGGAACTAACGTCCAAGTCTTATTCGCTCTAAGTGACTCCATTTCACTTTCCATGGCGCAAAGCCATTTAGCGGACTCATTAGACTTAAGGGCCTCTCTATAGGTTCTAGGTTCGTTAAGCTCAAGGGTCTCAAACACAAAGAAAGCAAACCTAGAAGTATCACACACATGGAAAGCAAAATCAGGCATACTATCTGCAGTTCTCCTAATTTCTCTCCTACTTCTATCTCTAACAAGTTGGTAATCATGCAAATCATTTTCACTAGAATCAACACTCTCATCATGTGATTCATTGTCATTTGAATGCACATGAGAATGCTCCTCCTCACTTGAAGTGGTGGTATTATCATGCTCAGAAGAATCATGCAATTCAGAAGAATCATGTAAGTCAGAAGAATCATGCAATTCAGAAGAATCATGTAATTCAGCATATGGTATGGACTCCACCTCAACAGGTGTACTACTAGGGCTCGACTCAGAATCAGGAACTGACTTAACCAGACAAGGAAACTCGGATTCATTGAAGACAACGTTTCTACTTACCACAACTTTGAAACCTACCTGGTTTCTATCCCAAACCTTGTACCCCTTCACACCCTCAGGATAACCTAAGAAGACTCCTTTCTTAGACCTAGGATCCAATTTGTCACCTTGTTGGTGCACATATGCAGCACACCCAAACACTCTAAGATTAGACAAATCAAGGGGCTTGTTTGAGAAAACAGATTCAGGGCACTTCATACCCAAGGGAACAGAGGGAGACCGGTTAATCAAGTAGATAGCAGTATTGACTGCTTCACCCCAAAACTTTTTAGACAGAACGGAGGTAGCAAGCATACTTCTAACCTTATCTAGAACAGTCCTATTCATTCTCTCGGCTATCCCATTTTGTTGGGGAGTATAGGGCACAGTTTTGTGCCTTCTAATCCCACAATCAACACAGAGTTGGTCCATATCCTTATTGCAAAACTCTAATCCATTATCGGTCCTAAGGGTTTTGACTTTCTTACCAGTTTGATTTTCTACAAGGTTCTTCCACTCCCTAAACTTCATAAAAACATCGGACTTATGCTCAAGGAGACGGACACACACCTTCCTAGAAAAATAACCGATAATGGACAGAAAATATCTCTTACCCCCGTGGGTAGAGATATTAGCAGGACCCCAAACATCAGCATAAACATACTCTAACACAGAGGTACACTTAGTGGGATTAGGATAAGGGGAGGAAGGAAAAGTAACTTTATGTTGCTTGCCTAACACACAAGATTCACAGAAAGGGATGGAGGACACAGAATCCTTACCAAAACAACCAGATTTATGCAAAACCTCTAAACCCTTATTACTCATGTGTCCTAATCTATTATGCCACAAAGCAGTTTTATCAGAACTAACAACATGAGCAGAATCACAGAAAGGCTGAGCATGGCACACATACAAATTATTCACCTTTTTTGCCTTAAACAAAACAAGGGAATTTTTCAAAACTTTCATGCACCCATTTCCCCATTCACCCTCAAGCCCACTACCCTCAAAAGCAGCGACAGAAAACAAGTTATGACGCAAATCAGGAACATGCCTCACATTTTTCATAGTAAACACAGTCCCATTATCAAACTTCAAGCACACATCACCCACCCCATGTATTTTGAATTTCTTATTATCAGCAAGAGACACAAAACCATCATTGCAAGAATCATAAGAAGCAAACAGAGATCTAAAAGGTGTCATATGATAAGTACAACCAGAGTCAATCAACCACTCATTTTCAGTCATGCTACTCAACACAGAATTGGCAAAATCACAGACCATAAAAACTTCATCATGCAAGTTATTATCATCTACCACATTAGCATGTTCAGGCTTCTTAGGGTGAGGACAATCCTTAATAAAGTGGCTAGAATTCTCGCAATTATAGCACACTCTCTTCTTAGACTTACATATCTTCTTACCTGGGTCATTATTATTGTTTTGGTTCTTAGTGTTGCTACCCTTCTTATGGTTTTTAGATCTACTCTTAGACCTACCCTTCACAAGCAACGCTTCACCAGAGTCCCTAGATTGATTGACTGTTACTACCTCTCGAGTGTCTAAGGTCTAGTTCCTTACTTCTTAATCCATTAACCACTATATCTAATGAGATATCGTCTCTACCATACTTTATGGCAGATTTGACGTCATTGTAAGAGTAAGGGATGACATTAAGTAACACTATGGGTGTGTAGCCATCTATGTGTTTATGACCAGCTTGCTTAATGTTTTGAATAAGCTTGTTAAACACATCTAGGTTCTCATCTATGTCTTTAGTCAGGTCAAGCCTAAATCTAAAGAACTTCTCAAGCAAAAACAATTTACCAGGCAAAGAAGTATCGGTATACAACTTATCTAACTTATCCCACAACTCCTTTGCAGAATCTATAATACCCACCTTCCTAAGCACTGAATCAGAAAGGTTTAGGTAAATAGAGGAACACGCAGTTTCATTCATTTCAACGCGCTTTGCAGCATCCTCGGAGTCTAAATAGAGACCAGTCACAGCTCTATAGACTTTCTGTTGGATCAACACGCATTTGATTTTCTATTTCCAGATATCAAAATCTGTCTTTCCGTTAAATGGAAGCATGCCATATGGATTGACAGTCATTTTAACGAGAAAGCAAGCACAACACGCAAGAGAGTAAATACTCCCTCCGTCCCGGAAAATTAGTCCCACTTTGACTTGGATCGGAGTTTAAGAAAGTGGGAATAAAGTGGATATGTATGGTTGTGGTTGAGTAAGAAAAAGGTAAATGAATGTTAGCCACACAAAACTTTCCAAAAAGGGAAATGGGAACAATTTTTTGGGACGGCCCAAAAAGGAAAATGGGACTTATTTTATGGGACGGAAGGAGTAAAATTTATCAGGCTACGAACAGTACGAAGCAAATAGCACGAACAAGATGAGAAGACCAATGACCACAAAGCTCGGGTACAATCTCCTTGTTCTTTCGTACAAGCACAAATAAATTGATATTTACTCAACAGACAGATAAGTGATTAATTATGACCTATAGGGCTCTGAATTGTACGAAGCAACTAGCACGAACAAGCTGAGAAGACCAATGAGCACAAAACTCGGGTACAATCTCGTTGTTCTTTCGTACAAGCACAAATAGGCTAAAATTAATCAACAAGCAATGAAACTAGTTTAAAACTAAACCAGACAGAAATATTCACAACTTCAGACAACAAGTATCCAAACAAATATTCTTAACCAGAAAGTTTATCCACGAATCAATC